GGCAATCAAATGTATATATACTTGGTATGTTGCCAACCATCAGTTTTACAATATCGAGGGATAAATTCCCTACATACCAACAAAGAATTGTAAAATGAGATATGCATCACAACATATACATAGGCAAGCAAAAGTATATATTTTTGATAATGTTGCCAACCATCAGTTTTGCAATATCGAGGGATATATTCCCTGCGCCCCAACAAAGAACTGTAAAATGAGACATGCATCACAACATATATGTAGGCAAGCAAAAGTATACATATTCTGTATTGTAGCCAACCATCAGTTTTGCAATATCGAGGGATAACACAACAACAGTGCAAGTAGTCCCGGCACGATAATGAGTAATAGGATATTTAAAACAGAGCTAGGTTTCACAATCGCTTGCGGTTTGAATGTGCTGATGTTCAAAAAATACCATGGAAATTTACAATCGAGAATTGTTTGCAGAACGCTAATAAATTTTTGTATTCGTTTGACATGGCGTATATTTGGAGTAGGCTCTAGAGCACTTATAATTGTGCTTACGAATATTTCTAGTTGCCCCGCTCGCATACGTGCAACAGTTATGTGATTGTGACCTATAATTGAATACTTATGGCTATGAAGGCGGCAGTGAGAACACAGAGGGCTATATGCATATAAACACCAAATACATGTGTACTATGTATGTAATCTGTGTGGGGTGCACGTGTAGCAGTGAGTCATGGGAACAATGTTGTATGTCTTATGATATTGGTTTATGTCTACAGCTGATTCGGTATGCGTAGGCCAATAGAAGAAGAGCATAAAACTATATAGTAGCGTAGTGTGCAAGTAGTGTAGAATATATGGTGAGCTGCGGGCTACGGATGCGACCGGGCACGCAGAAACGAGATGTTGCGTCAGTGACCAGAAGGTCTGACAGCAGGCAATGTCTAGGTTGAGACTATATAAGTTTAGGTTATCAGTCCTCACAACCTTGTAAGCTATTACACTACTTTGATCATATAAAGTACAAACGCTAATTCACTCTAAACCGTTCGTGAACTAAATAAGTACTCACATGTATGATACATATTTAATTTATATCAGTCTTGTTACTGTGTAATGGTGTCAAAACACATGTCACTTAGGCCCTATAATAGACCGGTCGGCCTTCGACCTCTTTCGCCACTTGTATGTAAAGAAAATGGCAATAACAAAGTGGCTTATGTGTACAACTACTTGAGATTCAAGGATAGCTCCGCAAGTACACGCCTGACGGAACATCTAGCCCAACGCTTTCCGTACATAGTATAACTGTAGATCTAAACACAACTATAACTTTAACTTCCTCCACGGCTATAACCATATAACCTCATTACAACCTCATTTGTCAGTTATACATCAGTTCACACGTGAACAGATGAACATGTACACAGTGGCAATTTTACATTGGAATAAATTTATCATACATGAGGTATTTTCGAGGTGCCTCTGGCTGGTTTCAATACCCAAATGATTTCCTTACTGTTCTGCTTGATTATCCATATCTTAATTATTCATAGTCCCGGTCGCATAACAAAATCTTATACGCAGTTTGTACTCTTGTTGTCATCCAGAATCTTGGACCCCTGACTGATTTCTAGTCCTTTACTACGTGATTTAGTACTCCTGAAATAACTAAATGTATGTATAGCTCCGACACTCGTGTGTTTGTATCATTTTAAATGTTGTTTGACTATTTATACTATCCTAATATCGTTACCGCGTGTTCCATTCACATCGTTAATGGCATATGCTTGTACGCAAGACTCGCGCTCTCGTCGTCGCCAATATTTCCCGTCCACATTTGACTCTTATCGGTATGCTTATGAGTCATAAACATATCATTTTCGTCAGTGTAGGTGCAATCAGGCTAATGTGGATTATCCCCATGTTCATTGCTAATCTTTTTACATAGCCTACATTCCCTAAAATCAATTAGGTTTCTACTTATCCTTGTATCTGCACCTGCATTTCTAAGTCAAATACAGATTTCTCTGATCTTCATCAATGATCTTGGTCCACCTGGCCTTCTTCCGTTGCTCAAACTCTTCTCGAAGCCATTGCTCCACCAATCGCAACAGAGCGGATTCGCCATATCCAGCGTTTCTGTGCTCGGCGCGAAGAACCTTTTTTAAGCACATGCGCAGATATAATCGGAATGTGAGTTTCAAGATTATTGAAAATTTAAGAACTGACAGAATAGTATGTAGACTATATAGCCAACTTTTCAAGTGATGTTTATATTCCTGAACCTAACACGGCTGTACAACATACACTGAGGTCTATTTATTCAGCTACTAAATCAATTTCTAAGTTACAGTCATTTACGCAGCAATAAACGCAGAATCCAGGGATTTCACCCCTTCAAATATAGCACCTACATCCTACAAGGGGACCTGAGACCCACCTTATCATAGCAATGAATGCTACTCATTGATACGCTCGGTCAGAATGGTGCAGAGCACATCGACCGTACTGTGAAGTAAGCGGTCAAAGCGCTGCGACCTTCATTACATGTGACGGAGTGGGATTATATGGCCAGTCTTGCAGTCTTCAGTGTATAAAACTACTACCCAATAGAAAGCACACCTCCTCACTCAATGACTGGGATAGAGCGGATGATCGTAACAATGAACACATATATTGGACTCGCCAGTAGTCATAAAAGAAGTCTATTAAAGTACTAGCTGAACAAATACAGTTGAATCAGCACATAAATAAACCCATTGTTTTGATCAGATCAGCGGTGAGTGCACGAACTCAAATGTCTCATACTTCGACTAGAAACACATCATGACCACAGTTTGTTGTCATACGACTTTAGACCTGATTTTCATTCAACATTGATACGGATTGGTGGTGTCAGTGCGCCGTACATACATACAACTTACCACAAGCTCTTCAATGTCGTCTACGGGCTTCAACAATCGCACGTGTCCATTCGAAAGGTGGCAGAGATGTGTGCACCAGTCGCCGATGCCATCGAAGATGTGTGTGGCGTACTGCAATTGGAAATTATAGGCAAGAATTGATAAATGCAACAAGCTTAGTACGAAAACTATGGATTGTGTGTGCATTAATTTTTCAATCCGTGTCACCAGTGCTTGAGCAATTCCACGAGCTTTTGTATACCTTCACAACCGCAAACACGTCTACAATCAGATAAGTCAACAGGCTGCAAACCGAATATATAATTAACTGGTGTACAGAGACAGCTAAAAGGATACAGCTTTCTCAACCATATTCCAATAGGAGTTGTTACAAATGTATACTACAGTAGACCAACCAGGATAGAGGCCCCCCGTTCCTCTGTCTCCCTTTTGAGATAGTTTAACAGATCACTTCTGACAAGGACGTCTAGATCAACAGTCACTTCGTCCAGTAGCAAGCAATCAAACGGCTTCATCAAGCCCAGGAGCAATTGTACACGCCTCCTCTCTCCGTCGGATACCTGGTCACAGAATAAGAAGTGAATTGATGAGGTGGTACCATGAAAAGTGTACACGAGTATAGCGGTGCATTCGAGTACGCGCTTGTTCTGTATCGTGTGTGTGTGTGTGTGTGTGCGGATCTGTACAAAGATCAAATATTGTGCACTATAGCTCCATTTTATGCTACTAATACCACCAGCCCCAAATACTCACTCCACGCGCGATTAAGCACTGCAAAGTGACCGACAAGCCAACTCACAGACTTGCCCTGGTGTCAACAAAGAAGATCATGAAACGCACCAATTAATGTGAAAATAAACATTAAGAGCATAGCAAACCCGACATGAATCGCGCAAGTGCTATATAAATGATAGTACTACAAAGCACTTGATAGTCTGAACATATAGATGTATATCAAACGTTCGTACACACACGCACACATCAAAATAGGAATTAAAATGTTAGACCAACTCCATGCACCTACACATGCAGGCCTATTGAGAAGATCCCAAACCACAAGTATCCAGTAAGCGTCTGTTGAGTTCGTAGTGTATAGGCTGCTACACACTAATCAAAACCAGCGCTTCTCACGCATAAATATACCTCATGCATGCGCCAGTTGGGATTGATATCCAGGATGTCTAATAAACGATCCCGACGTTCCCGATGTTCGTTGCCGCCACTTGACCGAATGAGTTGCGTCACGCGCATGTCCTGTCTTGTGATTGGATTGTTCGCCCACTCCGAACCTAAGTAAGTCAGACCCTGTATATATGTAAGAAGAATTCAAGTGAGAAGATTTCGAGGGAATATTTTCTGCTTCAGTAGGTCATGTTCGTACAGTTATGATGATATGAATGGAATAGGCTTCCAAGAACACTCACATGTCCCGACCTAGTCCTACTATGAAAACCAATAGCGATACACACATCACAGGAACTCGTGCATGCGCTTTTATACCCTTGCGCAAGTGTATATAGTATTGCCACGTAGACATACAAGATACCAAATGCAAACGAGCGGTACTATTTGTATGGGTGATTTTATACACACGGAAGTCAGACAGCGAACTCTACTAGATATGGCCTTAGTGAGATGTGCAGGTAGCTGAAGAACACAATCAAATACCCCGGCCACAGTATGCAACCAAGCTCATCTTCACATTACACAAATCACAGGAACTCGTACATACGCTTTTATACCCTTGCGCAAGTGTATATAGTATTGCCACGTAGACGTACAAGATATCACATGCAAACGAGCGGTACTATTTGTATGTGTGAGTTTATACACACGGAAGTCAGACAGTGAACTCTACTAGATATGGCCTTAGTGAGATGTGCAGGTAGCTGAAGAGCACAATCAAAAACCCCGGCCACAGTATGCAACCAAGCTCATCTTCACATATTACAGATATAGAGATATAACATGTCTAGGTCCTTCGTTGTTCTAAATAACATATTGCTTGAATTATTTCTGCAAGCAAGTTATGGCAGACAAGTCATAGCAGTGCTTTGATGATGCAGTTGCCGTGTCACCACAAATTACGCGATCGGTTTTTTAAATAGAAAGCACATGGTGTGTATGACCGTAGTAGTACATGCGCAAACCGATGGGCGAAGGTCAATACATATACAGCAAATACCTATGTCATACTTACGTTGGGTGTACTTTGAAAGGGATCATGGCCCAAGACTTCGCATTTTGTGCTATGAACCAGCTTTTTCCCTGCCAGAATCCGTAGGAGAGTGCTCTTACCAGTTCCGTTTGCGCCGACTAACAAACAGCGAGCACCCTTGGGCATCTGTACATAAAAGTAAAACGTATATAATGACATATTAGTTTTGAGAGACAGGTAGGTATCGGTCATTGAACATAATTACATCAACAAGTAGCGCATGTCACTCAATGATTCTGAACACCAGTTACATATATGTCACAGATAGCAATAGAAGGTCAAATCAGGATACGTGCCCGAAAAAACTAGCAAAACAAAACATGAGGAACATCACTTACCTTCATGTTTACATCGAAGAGAACCGGCATACCACCCTTGTACGCATAGTTCAATCCGGTAACTTCAATGACACTCGCCCCTGAATCAGTCATATTTACTTTGAATTATATCGATCAATTCAGTATCTATTGCTGCAACTGCTTATTATATACTGATGGCGTGTTAATGAATATACAGATATAATCGGTTGTATAACCGCACTTAGCGCTGAATAGACCGTTGTGGTGTTCACCCGTATGTTTATACTTTTACACCGTATATCCCTCTCTTCAGTCAAACCACTTTTTGTTGATATATCAGGTCAAAATTTGGACATAAAATAAAGTAGACAAAATCACGCAAATAGGGCGGGGGGACTGGGGCCCATAGCTCTCGTCTTTAGGCACTCTGAATCTGGTACTGTGGTACAGGGAAGTACATGCGTGCATATCAAATTCGACTTCGGTGATTGGTCTATTAATTCGTTGCTCAACTGGTGGCGTATTCTTTGGCTCAGTTTCTGGCAGTAGGCTTTATCACTTGATAGGCAATATCCCTGACGACCATCATTCCATCAACCATACCCTGCACCCAGAACAACACCACAGAATGAATGCATTGTACGCTCGCATGTAACGCATCGGTGGGCGCCATCTATCAGATCGTATCTCCACAATCTTTGGCGCAACCTAATTGACTTTCTTTCTCTACACTTTCTATCTATCCATTTTCAATGTTCTTTACTTCTGATTGAATGCGATCCTTGTTGTCGTTCTTATGTACATTCTGATGCATTCCGTTAGGTTGTCATAAAAGACCTTGCCAATACATTTCTTTTGAGAGTATAGCGGGGTCACACGTGAAATCAAACAGCAGAATAATTACATCCTGGTATGTACATACGGGCAATATTGTGTCCCAGACAATGAAGTGAACAAAGAAAGAGGTAGACGAAAAAGGTACGTTGACTATATGTAAGTGATTCCTATACAAAAGTTGGAAAAATGAACAAATGACATTTCATTGTTGTGGGTTTTGACACTTGTTTTCTGGAAAATATGAAGCTAAAAAAAAGCGCCCAATTATGACCAAAGAAGTACTTCTCAAAAAAAACATGCCTAGCTATAAACCAATGGGATACTTTGAGTCTCTTAACCAATTAATTACTCGTTGTAATCTAGCACTTTGAGTCTCTTAACCAATTAATTACTCGTTCTAATCTAGCACTTTGAGTCTCTTAACCAATTAATTACTCGTTCTAATCTAGCACTTTGAGTCTCTTAACCAATTAATTACTCGTTCTAATCTAGCACTTTGAGTCTCTTAACCAATTAATTACTCGTTCTAATCTAGCACTTTGAGTCTCTTAACCAATTAATTACACTTTGAGGTATTGTAGGGTCTAAGAGTTCATTTATTTAGCGCGATTTTCCACTTTCTTTGAATCGGTTTGTTGACACTTGACACTCACATGATGTCCGAATCATCAATTTAGTTATGACACGCCGGCTACGTTATCAGTTCATAGTAAACAAGATATAAATATCTCGTATGTATATATTTAGGATATTTATGTAGTATATGTACACTTCACACAGCACAAATACACTGTGCTTGTGCTAGTCCGTATGTTGTGCGCTTCAATATCTTGTTGAAAAACACCGTCCGCTAATGAGCCCACACTGCTTGAAGGGTTTTAGTACATATGTAGATGTAGATATTCACCAAGACATACAGTAGGCCATTGTCATCAGTCAAACCCGACGAAGTCGATGTAGAGTCACAGGAGTGCGATATAGATATTGAACCACGAACGTATAACGAACAGGCAGACATGTGCGATGCAGATATTTCGGATGATATGGGTATACAAGAAGGTGACAAACAAACACAATCACATGACGTGGTGATACTGAGAGAGCTATTTGAAGAGAGCCTTCCTGGCAGTCCAAGTCTGTTACTCAGAGGGAACCAGGACATGCAAGCAATAGGAACAGTATGTCAATGAAGTGTGAAACAGAGAAAATGGCTGTGGTTTTTCGTTATGATTAGTACTTGATAAATATTACTATGGTTATATGTTGAATAAATTGCAGCACAGTTCATATATTGATTACATCCAGTATGTGAAGCAAAGGAATAAAGATGTAGTTGATGATCATCATGGAAGCAGACTAGTAGTGTGTAGCTGGAAGTGAACCGTGCAAGTTTGTTATCTGAAGTCTAAAGAATGGTCCTTGAATTCGGATGGAATTGATTGGCGGTGTATACAGTTCTGAAAATGGTGCACGGATAACAGATCTCGTACGAATGAATTCCATGTGCATTATATTAGAGCTCTATGCTAGTGGTTTATGTTGGTGCTGCGCATCCCAACATTTATAGTAAATTGTGGTGTCCCTAGAACCAAGCGGTGGACTATGCATATCTTCGCTGTTTATCTTGATTCCTAATGATAGGTGCAACACACAAAAATGGAAAAACAAGGTTGCATACTCTGCGTACGATACTGTGATTGTGGAGGGTTCTTAGCAGATCCACTTTGTATGCCATAAAGGACTGGAAAATCTCGAAAAAGAATAGTACATCTTCATGTTGTGTTGCACACCATAAATCGTTTTTCTGTATGAGCAAGCACGAGGTCTAGAATTCCGGTGCCATAGATGCGATAGAATAAGATACAAGGATGAATGTGACGTTCTAGCTGAAGGATTGTTGCTGTGCACTGGAGTTGACTGTCATAAGAGGCACCCGCACGAGGGGGGGGACTGGAAAACTCCGATTTTCTGTGGAATAGTTCGGCGTGACATGTGCATTTCTGACGGGCCCCAGTACCCTCGCATTGTTAAAATTTATCTTGTTATTCTGGCTACCTGGTCGTGTGCTCTGATTATATATAGCATCAGTCTACGTTCTCATATTTAAACATATTTAAATAGAACTAAACTGTCTGATTAAATCTAGATGTAAATGCTCGCTTACATGAAGTGAACAATATCGACTGAATATACTCCGTATATATCAAAAACGGTAGCTATAGGCTAATTCTACTGAAACTATTAGAGTCTGTTACAACATCGCCGTGAATCTGTAATCTTCAGGTTTAAATCTACTACTCGGGAGACGAGGTACGGTACTTTAATTGAATATGGAGCTTCATATTTCTGTTGACATGCTTCCATTCATACATCGGTTATGGTGCTTGCACAGTCCATCGAGGACTCGGAAGATGTATTTCAATACCCCAAGCGTGGCGATGGTACAGACAGTCTGCGGAGCGCTAAAACTGAGGAAGTTACAGCGAGTCATAATACTTGGGCCGGAAAGGTACTGATGTTCTCTACCTCACTAAGTTCCTTAAAGTTGTGTTATTTAGTATTATAGAGTATAATATATATTTTACATATATATATATATATATATATATATGTGTGTGTGTGTGTG